GGGGCAGATGGACAGATGGACAGACAGAGATGGTTTTAGGGGTGGGATAGATGGATGGAAGGACAGATAGAGATGGATCTAGGCATGGGGCAGATGGACAGAAGGACAGACAGAGATGGATCTAGGTGTGGGGCAGATGGACAGATGGACAGACAGAGATGGTTTTAGGGGTGGGATAGATGGATGGAAGGATAGATAGAGATGGATCTAGGCATGGGGCAGATGGACAGAAAGACAGACATAGATGGATCTAGGCATGGGGCAGATGGACAGAAGGACAGACAGAGGTGGATCTAGGGATGGGGCAGGTGGACAGATTAAATTAGCCAGGATTTGCCGACATACCTGCTCCCCAGGTCGGGATGAAGATGAGGATGCAGAGGACGGTGCTCAGGGCTGGCAGCTGCTCCATGGTCCCTGCTCTCTGACCAGCTCCGCAGCCCAGCTCAGCTCAGCCTCAGCATCCTCCGGAAATGTCACCTCTGGGGGGGCCGGTGGAAAGTTTTGTGGCCTGCGCGTCTGAGATGGCTGCAGCAAGAGGCCGGGGATAAGGGCCGGATGGGGGTGTGTGTTTGTGCATTCCTCTGGCCCCTGCTGGGAGGAGAGTGGGGTCTAGTGGTTAGAGCAAGGGGGGCTGGGAGCCAGGACTCCTGGGTTCAGTCCTCAGTCCATTGTCTCATCTTGGGTCATGCTCCTTACCCGCTCTGTGATATTTTTTCATGAGGTATAACATTAGTTTACATAAAGGAATTTTTGCTTAATATATTTTATTTTCACATACTGAGGTATATTCATTTTTTGCAACACAGATCTCCTGCCATCGGCCTATTCCTTCTAAAAAACCAAACATGCTCCAGACAGTTTTTATCTGCTTTATTCAGAAATGTTTTCTTTAGAATTTTGTTTTCTCTTACGGCTGACTCCGTTACAGCATTTAATTTTCATTTGTAAATGGAAAAATATTGTCCCACAAGGAATGAATCTTGAGAAATACTTTTCTTTAATGTTATAGTCAGACCCAAGACATACAGGACAGATCCATAGCTGGTGTGAACAGGTGTTTCTGAGTTTATTCCAGTGGAGCTATGGCTGATGGACCCCAGCTGGGATCACACCAGCATCCCTGCAGGGTGCACATTCCCCTCCCCAGACCCACCCACACCCAGGAGCCCGACGCCCAGAGCCACAGGCCATTTCCTGTACCAAGGAGAACTATAACGGCAGCGGCCACTAGGGGGCGACAAAGTTCCCACACTCCCTTTGCTGCTGCATGGCCCCTTCGCTCGGTTCCCGGGGCCGATCGACCCACAGACAGAAGCAGAAGAGAGCGGAGAAGCCCCAGCCCCACAGGACCCCCGGCAGGTGGTTCAGAGTCCAGCGATGTCTGACGGCTTCTGAACCTGGAGCTGGGAAACTCCTGCCAGTGATAGGCCCCCTGAGCGGCTAAATCAGCGTCACCTGCCCTGGTGCTGGGGGTGGCTTGGAGCCAGCACCCACCACGGGGACGCCTGGGAAACAGAACGAGAGCGTCACTGAACAAACTGGGGGGAAATGCTACGGGGATGGAGCCCTACAAATACCAGCGAGAGACTGATTCCACCAGGGATGAAATGCAGCCACCTCTGGGATAGAACGTGGGGGCTGCTTATACAGGGTCCCCTCACCCAGCGCTGAGACACGGCCCCTCTGGGGTGGGGCACAGGGGCTGTTTATACAGGGACTCCTCACCCAGTGCTCAGACATGGCCCCTGTGGGGTGGGATGGAGGGGCTGTTTATACAGGGACCCCTTGCCTGGTGCTGAGATGCAGCTGGCTCTGGGGTGGGGCAGGGGCTGGTTACATGGGGATCCCTCACACGGTGCTGAGATGCAGCTGGCTCTGGGATAGGGCAGTGGCTGGTTACCAGCCCACACAGCGATGCCATGTAACCGTTTGGGACAGGAAGTGAAGGTGGAACCCGCGCGGACCCGGTACCGTTCCAAGGCCGCAGGCTGAGGATGATTCCCAGGGAGAAGAGAACGACGAGCGACAGGGAGATGACGGCTCGGTAAAAGAGGGGCCCCGAGTCCCGACAGAGCTCACGCCCCCCTGGAGCTCCTAGACAATAGAAATGAGGGGTTAGGCGATTCCTGGACCAACACCCCATAGAGGGGACAGGCTCCGTGACCCATTCCCACCTCCTGAGCCAGCCAGTCCCCTGCCCTGGGGCCAGAGAGGGGGAAGATCCCGTGTCCCCATTCCCCACCTCACCTGTGTCACTCTGGTTTCTCCCCGTCACCTGCAGCTCGGTGCCTGCTCCCGTCCCGCTCTCTCCCTGGTAGAACTCGATCTGACACTGATAGAGACCAGAGTCCCGCTGCTCCAGCTCCGACAGGGTCAGCGTGGCCTCCCCTTTCTGGAGCAGATCCAGGTGGGACACATTGAGTCGTCCACTATAGAAGGGATGGGCAGAATCCAGCACGACTCCAGGCGCTCTTGTCCAGGTCGCTTTGACCCTGCTGCCCTGTCTGTTCTCGAAGGAGCAGTTGAGTGTCATGGTCTCGCCGGGGGACGCTCGGAGGACAGCGGGGCTCTGGAGGACTGTGAGACCTTCGTGAACCAGGGCAATAAACATTATAACAGCAAAGGAAAACTACGACGAGTGGTATCGAGACACGCCGCAGCCGCCCGAAACCTTAGCAGCACGGAGATAAGAAGCTAAGGGGAAAGAATTGTGTGTTCCTGTCCACCTTGCTATTGCTCACAACACTGTCGATAACACACTGCACAGGACTTTCACTTCCCCTTCCAACAGATACCCCACATCAGCACTGCTATGTGCACGGCAGATGCTCACAGAGACGTTAGAGGTAAAATCACTCAGGACAGTTACGTCCAAAGCAGACTGCGAGGAATTACAAAGCGATCTCACTAACCTGGGTGACTGGGCAACAAAATGGCTGATGAAACTCACTGGTGGTAAATGCAAAGTCATGAACATTGGAAAACAGAATCCCAACTAGACACACAAAATGGTGGGGTCTAAATTAGCTGCTACCACTCAAGAGAGACCTTGGAGTTGTTGTGGATAGTTCTCTGCAAACATCCACTCAATGTGCAGCGGCAGTGAAAAAAGTCACCAGACTGTTAGCATCCATTAGGAAAGGGAAAGATAGTAAGACAGAAAATATCCTATTACCTCTATATAAATCCAGGGTACAGCCACACCTTGAATACTGCGTGCAGTTTTGGTCGCCTCAAATCAAAAAAGGATTCATTAGATTTCCAAAAGTTACAGAGAAGGGCAACAAATACCATTAGGGGTATGAAACGGCTTCCCCCTTACAGGGACCAGGAAACCGCCTTACAAATTAAAGTGGCAGCTTGTCATTTTAACCGTTTTAAATACACCACAAACACATGCCTCCACTTTATACAATTTGTGCTTCAAACTAGAGGGGGTCACAATTTTTCTTGACAGAATGTTTTTCTCTTGGGAAAAGCCGTCTCATAGAAAGGATGACAATTGGTTTAAAAGTTGGGGAGAGAAAGCGTTTTGATAGGGTCAAAAGGGAATGATTTGATTTTGCATTTCCAGACTTATTTGATTTGATATTATTAAGAGGAGTCAATATTGGAATGAAATATTTGTTTTATGGAAACAGAATACTTTTCACTGACCTGATATGACACATCCACATCTATCTATGCATTCATGCACGCATCCTCCACCCCTAGATCTATATGGATGGATGGATGGATGGATAGATGGATATTATTTTGGGGGTGGGATGCATAAATACATAGATAAAAAGATAGAAGACATGGATGTAGGGGAAGCGATGAGTGGGTAGACAGAGATAGAGCTAGGGATAGGGTATATGGACAGATAGGGCTGAATATAGTGGAGTGGAGTAGAAGGACATATGGACAGACAGAGATGTATCTATGCATGGGGAAGATGGACAGAAGGACAGACAGAGATGGATCAAGAGCTGGGGCAGATGGACGGAAGGACAGACAGAGATGGATCTATGCCTGGGGAAGATGGACAGAAGGACAGACAGAGATGGATCTAGGGGTGGGGCAGATGGACAGAAGGACAGACAGAGATGGATCTAGGGATGGAGCAGATGGACAGAAGGACAGACAGAGATGGATCTATGCATGGGGCAGATGGACAGACGGACAGACAGAGATGGATCTAGGGATGGAGCAGATGGACAGAAGGACAGACAGAGATGGATCTATGCATGGGGGAGATGGACAGAAGGACAGACAAAGATGGATCTAGGGGTGGGGTAGATGGACAGAAGGACAGACAGAGATGGATCTATGCATGGGGCAGATGGACAGAAGGACAGACAAAGATGGATCTATGCCTGGGGAAGATGGACAGAAGGACAGACAGAGATGGATCAAGAGCTGGGGCAGATGGACGGAAGGACAGACAGAGATGGATCTATGCCTGGGGAAGATGGACAGAAGGACAGACAGAGATGGATCTAGGGGTGGGGCAGATGGACAGAAGGACAGACAGAGATGGATCTAGGCATGGGGCAGGTGGACAGATTAAATTAGCCAGGATTTGCCGACATACCTGCTCCCCAGGTGGGGATGAGGAGGATGCAGAGGATGGGGCTCAGGGCTGGCAGCTGCTCCATGGTCCCTGCTCTCTGACCAGCTCCGCAGCCCAGCTCAGCTCAGCCTCAGCATCCTCCGGAAATGTCACCTCTGGGGGGGCCGGTGGAAAGTTTTGTGGCCTGCGCGTCTGAGATGGCTGCAGCAAGAGGCCGGGGATAAGGGCCGGATGGGGGTGTGTGTTTGTGCATTCCTCTGGCCCCTGCTGGGAGGAGAGTGGGGTCTAGTGGTTAGAGCAAGGGGGGCTGGGAGCCAGGACTCCTGGGTTCAGTCCTCAGTTCATTGTCTCATCTTGGGTCATGCTCCTTACCCGCTCTGTAATATTTTTTCATGAGGTATAACATTAGTTTACATGAAGGAATTTTTGCTTAATATATTTTATTTTCACATACTGAGATATATTCATTTTTTGCAACATGGATCTCCTGCCATCGGCCTATTCCTTCTAAAAAACCAAACATGCTCCAAACCAATTTTATCTCCTTTATAGAGAATGTTTTTCTTTAGAATTTTGTTTTCTATTACGGCTGACTCCGTTACAACATTTAATTTTTATTTGTAAATGGAAAAATATTGTCCCACAAGGAATGAATCTTGAGAAATACTTTTCTTTAATGTTATAGTCAGACCCAAGACATACAGGACAGATGCACAGCTGGTGTGAATAGGTGTTTCTGAGTTTATTCCAGTGGAGCTATGGCTGATGGACCCCAGCTGGGATCACACCAGCAGCCCTGCAGGGTGCACATTCCCCTCCCCAGACCCACCCACACCCAGGAGCCCGACGCCCAGAGCCACAGGCCATTTCCTGTACAAGGAGAACTATAACGGCAGCGACCACTAGGAGGTGACAAAGCTCCCACTGCTGCTGAACGGCCCCTTCACTCAGTTCCCTGGGCCAATCGACCAATAGGCAGAAGCAGAGGAGAGCGGAGAAGCCCCGATCCGGCAGGACCCCCGGCAGGCGATTCAGAGTCCAGCGACGTCTGATGGCTTCTGACCCAAGAGCTGGGAAAATCCTGCCAGTGATAGGCCCCCTGAGCGACTAAATCAGAGATACCAGCCCCGGTGCCGGGGGCAGCTTGGAGCCAGCACCCACCACGGGATCCACGGAGACACCTGGGAAACAGAACAAGAGCGTCACTGAACAAACTGAGGGAAATGCTACAGGGATGGAGCCCTATAAATACCAGAGAGAGACTGATTCTATCAGGGATGAAACCCAGCCACCTCTGGGATAGAACGTGGGGGCTCTTTATACAGTGACCCCTCACCCATCACTGAGACACAGCCCCTCTGCAGTGGGGCACAGGGGCTGTTTATACAGGGACCCCTTGCCCGGTGCTGAGAAGCAGCTGGCTCTGGGTGGGGCAGAGGCTCGTTATCAGCCCACACAGCAAAGCCATGTAACCGTTTGGGACAGGAAGTGAAGGTGGAACCCGCGCGGACCCGGTACCATTACAAGGCCACAGGCTGAGGATGATTCCCAGGGAGAAGAGAACGACGAGCGACAGGGAGATGACGGCTCGGTAAAAGAGGGGCCCCCAGTCCCGACAGAGCTCACGTCCCCCTGGAGTCCCAGACAATAGAAATGAGGGGTTAGGAGATTCCTGAACCAATGAGCCATAGAGGGGGACATGCCCCGTGACCCATTCCCACCTCCTGAGCCAGCCAGTCCCCTGCCCTGGGGCCGGAGAGGGGGAAGGCCCCATGCCCCCATTCCCCACCTCACCTGTGTCACTCTGGTTTCTCCCCGTCACCCGCAGCTCGGTGCCCACTCCCGTCCCGCTCTCTCCCCGGTGGATGCTGATGTGACACTGATAGAGACCAGAGTCCCGCTGCTCCAGCTCCGACAGGGACAGCGTGGCCTCCCCTTTCCGAAGCAGATCCAGGTGGGACACATTGAGCCGCCTGCTGTAGAAGGGATGGGCAGAATCCAGCACTACTCCGGGCCCTCTGGTCTAAGTTGCTTTGGCCACGCTGCCCTGTCTGTTCTCGAAGGAGCAGTTGAGTGTCGCAGTCTCGCCAGGGGACGCTCGGAGGACAGCGGGGCTCTGGAGGACTGTGAGACCTTCGTGAACCAGGGCAATAAACATTGTAGCAGCAAAGGAAAACTACGACGAGTGGTATCGAGACACGCCGCAGCCGCCCGAAACCTTAGCAGCACGGAGATAAGAAGCTAAGGGGAAAGAATTGTGTGTTCCTGTCCACCTTGCTACTGCTCACAACACTGTCGATAACACACTGCACAGGACTTTCACTTCCACCTCCAGCACATACCCAACATCAACACTGCTATGTGCACGGCAGATGCTCACAGAGACGTTAGACGTAAAATCACTCAGGACAGTTACGTCCAAGACAGACTGTGCAGAGTTGCAAGCGGATCTCACTAGACTGGGTGACAAAATGGCAGATGAAACTCAAAGGTGATCAATGCAAAGTCAGGCCCACTGGGAAACATAATCCCAACTACACATATAAAATGATGGGGTCTAACTTAGCTGTTACATCTCACAGAGATCATGGATAGTTCTTTGAAAACATCCGCTCAATGTGCAGCAGCAGACAAAAATCGAACAGGATGGTAGGAACCATTAGGAAAGGAAAAGATAATAAGATGGAAAATATGATAATGCCACTAAATAAATCCAGGGTACGCCCACACCTTGAATAGTACGTGCCGTTCTGATAAAAAAAAGATACATTAGAACTGGAAAACATACGGAAAAAGGCAACAAAATTGATTAGTTTCAGAGTAGCAGCCGTGTTAGTCTGTATCCGCAAAAAGAAGAACAGGAGTACTTGTGGCACCTTAGAGACTAACAAATTTATTAGAGCATAAGCTTTCGTGGGCTACAGCCCATATGAGGAGAGATTAAAAACACTGGGACTGATCAGCTTAGAAAAGAGACG